ATGTATACTTGCTACATGACTTGCTTCCCCATTGGATCAATATTTCCTAAGTGGCTATACTGATAATCCTATTGGTGACCATAGTTTTGTCCCACATTGTACCCATCTCGTGATTTTGTACCCTCCTTGTGATTGAGTTCTATGAAACTTCCTCTGTAAAGTGGGGTCTATAGCAACCCACTCAGGTGACCTCCTGCCTCTCAAGAGATATATATTTCAATAAGTATTTCCTATTCTTAACCTCCATTGTTCCATAGAATTTATTCTTCAATTTTGGGGAACATGAACTCAGCATATCTGACATCTAGCAGGTTGGAAGTTATATTATTTCCATAAAATATATGGAGGTCCTATATTATAAGAACCACTAAAAACTTACATTTTAAACTTTAAATACTCAGAATAATTGCAAAGTTCTGAATTCTAGAAGCAGAGGTTCAGTTGTCTGATACGAAACATATTTTGAATTACTATTGTTTGCATATAAACTTTCACCTTCAGAAATCTCTTCATTTTGATTTCAGAGACAATAATACCAGAGGCAAATAACATTGCTACAGACGTAATCTACTGTAGTTGTAAATCTTACTTTGTTTTTATGTGAACTGCCTTCTTCATATATTCCTCATCAACTATTTTGATGAATTTAAAAAAAAATGATGAGAGAGAAAATAAATTTATTCTTACCATTCCTTTACTCAGTACGGAACATAGAAATTTGTGAAAAATAAAATGTAGATATAATAACTTAGTGTTATTATAGGCAGCTAAGTTAGAAATTAACTTAGGCCCTTGAGGATAGGCACTCAAAGGAGTAGTGCAGAAGATGAGAACACATCAAAACAGTGGCTGTAGGCCATCTGAAGAAGGCCAGGCCCCAAAATGAAGATGCATTGACCAGGCCTGCATGCCTCCCTAAAGGATAAGCAGTAACTTGGAATTATACTGTAATTAGCACCACTTGCTCCTAGAATGTCAGATAGGCATCAGTCACCCAGGTGGGTAACCAGAGCATCTGGACCCATCCTTCTCAAAAATGCCTTTGTTCCTTCCAGGTACCCTTGCTCTGTGACTCATTTCCCTATTGGATAAATATGAGCTAAATGGCTAAACTTAAAATTCTATAGGTTGACTGTGACTTGACCCATGTTGTACCTAGGTTGTCATTTTGCAGTATAAATTATCCTTGACAAAAGGGCCTCCAGCAATCCAGAAGCTATTTTTCTCTCCTGATTTCCAATAAAACTGTCCTAACTTCTTTCTTTGGTTCATCACTTCATTCCTTGATGTTGTGGGACCACGAACTTGGCACATTTGACATCTAACAGGTCAAGATTCATATTTCTTCTATATCAATGCCAACAGGAAGGTGTCATGGCACAGGATTTGACCTGATACTGAAGTACTTTTTGCAACTGAAGAGGATCAGAATATGTCATTCTAAAATATGCCACTTTGATATAAGGGTTATTTTGAGCTAAAGGTAATTGAAAATCAACCAAAACAGGAAGAGTTCTCTGTCTTCCCATTTTTTGCCTGAAACTAGGGAGTAAATTTTTCTTTGAGGAGGGTATACCTTTGTCCTACTCCACTCCCATTCCCTGGTACCAATGGGAAAGAGTGATTTAGCATAAAAGATGGAGATTTGATAGCAGGATGAGGCCAAGCAAAAAACCAAATGAAATAAACCTTAAGAATGTGAGTCAAGACTAGTAATAGTAAAACTCCTAAAAACAAAAGACAATGGAAAAATCTTTTTTTTTTTTTACAATCATAGCTTTTTATTAGTACATGTTTGAGTACATGCATTTTATAATCACCCTAGGAGCATGTACATACACATAATGGAACTTGCTATCATTTTTTTTTTTTCCCAAGGAAAAATCTTTAAAGCAGCCAGAGAGAAAGAACATTTTATTTTTAGGAGGAAAATAATTAGTGTGATAAATTTCACATCAACGCCAAGGCCTCAAGAAGGATGTGAGAAAACACTGAAAGAAAAGAACTAGCAATCTATAATTCTATATCTGGCAAAAAATCCTCAAGGAAGGAAAGGATCATTGAGACATTCTTAGAAAAAGTAAAACTAAGAATTTTTTGATAGTACACTTATTTTGATAAAATGTCTAAAGAAAGTTCAAGAATGGAAATCATAAAAGGAAGGATTTTCAAACATCAAGAAAGAAGAACAAAGCATGGGATGAGTAAGGAACAACAGGAACTCTGCAGGAGGACTGAGGAGGAAGGACCACTTGGACAGCATGGAGTGACACCACACTACAGTGTGAGCAACCTGAGGGTGGACTGTGACCAGAAGAGCTGCCTGCACAGCAGGACTATGCATGAGCTGAGCCACCATCTTTATTTTACAACATGGTGTTCAACTTTTGGTTTGCTTGAGCTGCACTGAGTGAAACTTTTGGTTTGTCTTGGGCTATATATAAAATTAAAAGTGATAGGTCTCCCAGTACCTCAGCAGCTATTATGTATAGTAGCTGCCCTCTTCCTATTGTGTCTTGCCCTCTTCCCTGTGTGACATCATGCCAAGATGGTTGCTCCATCAAAGAACAAACCCTTCCTCCCAGCATGTCCCTGTTTCCACCTAGAGAATAACCTAATACTCACTCACCTCCTACCATCTAGTGATGTCACCAACTCCTCCATTCCCTAGTCACTACCTCATTCAACCCTGCCTCAGCCCCTACAAACCCCACCCCAGTCTCTATAAAAGACTCTCCCTGCCCCGGCCATATTGCTTTTGTCTCTCCTTTGTTCAGAGACAGCCCGGCAGATCTATTCCCCTAATAAAGGCTTGTTGTGGCCTGGTCTGGTCTTGGTCTTCGGCCCTTTTACCTGACAAAAAGTTAATGTATATAAGTAACAAAATGCTCTTTTTAAATATTTCGATTTATAAAACTATTTATGAAATAAATGATACCACAAGCCTAAATTTAATAAGAAAATTTGCATGTCTACCTAATACAATAAATGCCTGTTTTCACAGGCACAGTCATGTCATAGGTTGGGTTTTGTTGTATTTTCCTCACTGGATCACACAAGTGCACATAATGTCCAATGCATGCAGGCTTTGAATGGACTGACTGTGTGTGGCTGGTGCAGGAGGCAGAGTCAGCAATGCTCCGTGCTCTTCCCTACATGGCATCCTCTTGGTGTTGCCTACTTTGCCTGCCCTTGAGCACCACAGGAGATACAAAAAATATTACTAAAAATCACACAATAATGCTAAAAATTTACTGTGTTAAAGGGCCTCATTACTAACAGTCCAGGGCCACATGCAGCCTGCAGGCCTCACAGTGGATATTCCTGTTTTTCAGCACACACGTGGGTCCCCAGTATGGCAGGCCTCTTTAGCTCCTCACCCACAGGCAAGACTACCCTTCTTTTGATAATGAAATTATGATTTGACTTTGTTCAAAGCTGGGGGTTACATAATTCAGGGGAGCCTCTTTCCTCACTGGACCTACAGATTGAATCATGTTTAATCAATGCCAATGTGATTCCATTCACTTTCCAATACAGTTGGCCCTTCAAATTTGTGTGTTCCATATCTATAGATTCAACCAATGCCAGATCAAAAATATTCTAAACAAATTTTTGCATCTTTACTGAATGTGTACAGCATTCTGCTTGAATCATTATTCCTTAAACAATATAATATAGCAAGTATTTACATAGTATGCACTTTGTGTTAGGTATTATAAGTAGTCTAGTGATGATTTAAAGTATTTAGGAGTATGTGTGTTGGTTGTAAGTAAAAATTACCTTTTATATGAGGGACATGAATATCAATGGATTTGGGTATCTGTAAGGGTTAAAAAAATTAATGCCCACAGATACCAAGGAACAAGAGTATCTGGACTTAAGAATAATTCTAAATAAGGGTTCATTAACAAATACCATCTGAGGGACTCCTGAGAAAGCTTTTCCCATTAGATAAAGAAAAAGCGTGCAATGGAATTGCTATTCCCTTTTTCTGACTTTGTAAGTCACTGTGATTTCAGAAATGAAACAATCAACTTGAGACCCAAAGAGCCTGAGCAAGAAGACAAGCCCACAACATCAGCAAAAAGATCAAAAGATGAAAACAGTAAGGTTTCTTATGACATCATTGAAGGCTGAACTAACCAAAACTAGAATTAAGTCTATCTTTAGATTCATGTTATAGGAAATAGTTGTTTCTTATTTATTTCCCAAAACTCTATCAACATCACATGAAAATACTACAGTAGTCCATTAAGTGAATGTATTATAATTATGCAACTATCACCCTGTAAGTTGGTTTTGTTCTTCTTTTTCCTCATTATAAAGGAAGAGGCAATGAACACTTCTTAATATAAAAGTTTATCTGAATTTAGGGCATACTTTTCATGGACTTGTTGCCAAAAATGAAATTACTATGTGAAATGATATGAGCATTTTAAAATCTCATCATAAGTAGTATAAATTAATTTGCAAAAAGCACACACTTAATAAATTCTTACCACCCATGTATGTGGCCTGTTTTCATATATTACTTTCAGGAGTTATGATTTTCCCTTCATTTTTGTTGATAAGACCATAGTTTAAAAGTCCTGATTAGTTTGAATTAAAAAAAATTTAAATATCAGTTTTTTCCTCGAGTCTTTTTATATAAGACGAATTTTACAAACTCACAAAAAAAAAAAAAAAAAGGAAAATTTTGCTTATGTCATCCATTTTTGTACCCCAAGGTAAAACTGAAAACTACTTATAAATCACACTGGACAATGGAAAGGAAAACAGAGTCATACCTGTTTCATTTATGAAGACTAAGTTAAATTTTAAACAAAATTTGCTTAGTAGACATCCTTTTTCAAAAGAATTCGAGTTGAACAGTCCTAAAGAATATTTTTAAAGTATTACAATGGTTATTACTTTAGACTATACAGAGAGAAAAATCATATTTAATTAAAAATGATCTTCATATAGATTGCAAAAATAAATGAACATTATGTACTTACAAATCAAACACCAAGTAATGAAAGCCCTCTTCTGATATGCTGTCATGAAGTCGTACTGAAAATAAAATAAAAAGAACAAAGTTTGCATTATACTCATGCCAACACTCAATATTAAGCCCACCTTCTAATGCGCATCTCTCCTAAATAAGAAATGTTAATATAGATCTTTATTTTAGCCTGGGATAAGGCAGTGTCCTTTAACGGTTCAGACAGACCCAAGGTTTTGGTTTGGGTTCCAATAATTATTTTAAGTCTGCAAGTTTAACTTAACTTACAATATCATTATATTAGTACCCATACTTCGTATAATGGTTGAGATTAAATGACACAATAAAATTAAATAATGCAGGTATTGCCAGGTAAATACTACATAAATGTTAATGATTTTGCTGTATATCCAAAGTTACCAAGTTGTTGCAATTCTACTTCCCTGCCATTCCTCTTTTACTGTCACCCTTGCTTCACCAACTCATGCCATGATCAGTGCAGCAGGGATAGCAAGAGGGATCACTGGAGTCTGCTACATGGCCTGCCTCTGCTCGCCTGTTTGCCCTGGAATTTCTACACAGCACTCCCTGCCCAACCTACCAAAGCACAGTTTTTAGGGAGGAGAGTGGGAGGGGAGGAAAAAGGGAGGTTAAAAAGAAGATATATTATGTACATGTACCAACTTGCCACAATACATGTAATCATTATGTACTACAAACATATACTAATTAAAATAATTCAAAATAAAAACTAAAAAACTAAAACCATAGTTTTTATGTTCTTTATTCAAGGCACCAAAACCCATATCAACTCACTAGCTAAAAGTGAATACTTAGAACTTTATTGATAAAAGTAATCTACATCTTCTTCAAATTCATATACATTTTTCCAATGAGCTAGATTTATACTAATTCTAGCTAAAATCAATGTATGCCTTTTCTGAACTTAAAACACTAATTGATTCATACTACACTAAACCACGTATGTATAATTTCCATACTGCTTTGTCTATTTTTGCATAATCTCTTCTCTTGACCCCTCTCCCCCACACAAATAGTAATATTCATCCAAATCCCTTGCAGAGATGGCTTGACCTTCACTGTGGGCAAGAGAAGGCAGGGAAAACAACAAAATTCCAGAACACAGCTGCTTTCACAATAGTTATTACAGAAAGGACAAAGATTTCTACTATGATCTATTCTTAGTATATTCCCCATGCAGTGATGACCATTATATGGAAAATATCTATTGAAAAGAACATTTAGGTTATCACAGCAACTACAACCATCTGGAGAGATAATCAATAGCACCCATGAAATTCCCACTCTCCATGACTTCCAATCCAATTCCATCCCCTTTGGATCTTGTGATGACTAGTGTGGAATATCAATTTGACTGGCTTCAGGATCCACCCCAGGTGTTGGAAGAACACACTGAGCGTGCCTGGATGGGTCATGGAGGTGTGACTTTGGGTACCCTATTTGGTCCCTGGCCTCTTTCCTCGCTAGTGCTGCTCTGCTTACTAGCCATTATGAACTAACCAGTTTTGCTCAACCTTAACATTTTGCCATGAGGTTCCTGTCTTGGAATAATAGACCATGGACTGCATCCTCAGAAACCATGAGCTAAATTAAAACTTTCCTCCTTTAAATTATGGGTGAGTAGTATTGTGTCTCAGCAACCGGAGAAGCTAAAATAGATTTCACTGCTGACCCACCAAAAAATCTTTTGAATCCCTTTTCAGAAATTTCTCCAAGGTGGGGGAAGAGAGACTTTTGCTTCAACCCAAATTACAGATAATTACTTGTAGAATGTGGATCTGTCTATATTTAACATGAGGAAGAGGCTTACAATGGAGGTAGTTGGGATTGTGGCCAATCTGAGAAATGGACTATTTTGCTTGAGCACCTGAAAGATGAACACAATGAGTCTCCTCCTCCTCTTACTAGTTTGCTGTAGTGTCACTGGTGAATTCACGGATACAGCATATTTTATCTTTATTACCCAAGTGAAATACCTTTTCCTTCATCACACAGAATTTCCTTCTCATCAATGTTACTAAATTGGAACCACATTTTTTAAGGCTTTGCATCTCACACAGAAATCTGGCACATGGTAAAGTCATTTTCAAATGTTTACCATACCAGAGTTTTAGAAAATTTCACCAAAGCCTGGTATAGCTATTCATGTCTAAAATAAAATGAGTGATATGCAAGGAACTCTTTTGTAAATTTAACTGTGTGAGGAGCATTTTTCAATTTGCCAGTAACAGAGATGCTGCTTACCTTTGTTTAAACTTAGGCTGCTGAAGAAAAATGAAGAGCTTTTAATGACAACGTCATGATTATTTACCATTTTAAAGACAGACAGGTCATGACCTATATTTTAGTGATGTTCCTGACACAGTTTCAAAGATGCCTAACAAAGTTAGTGTTTAAATGAGATCAAGTAAAAGCATGGCTACTTAATGAACTAACTGAAAATTATTCTGGAAAATAAGTTGGTTTCTCGTGTTATCAAAGCTAAATGGAAAAGTAAAATTCACATGTACAGAAGGAAAGCACTACATTCTTCCACTTACTCAAGGAAAATGCTTTAAGTAGAGTTGAGATCTCGGGGGTGCTACTCAGAGTTGTACAGCTGAAGAAAGAAGGCAATTTCAGGTACAATTCTAGAAGCAGTATTGACTGTAGGTCATATCAAGAATAAAACTTTCTTAGTATGACTTAACCACTATCTTAATCACACTTATAAATGATCATCTTCTAGAAATGAAATCTTTTTGACCAAGCCACAAGTTGCTAAAAATGCAAGCCTGATGATCATACACAGGATATAAAACCCCTTAGCCAACAAGCATGTGATAATGGTTCAAGACAAACCATTCGTCCAAGCTCACTCCTATGACATCATGCACGTACAAAACAATCTCTAATATGTCTTATCAGTCATTTGACCATGTGAGATTAATCACAATAAATGATTATTACTGGTGCCATATACAAATCAACATCATCTTTACTTGGGATTACTTACACACATATTTCTCTTCTTCCTTTCTTATGCCCGACCTTACTTCTACTGTTTATAAAATAAACTAGAGAAACATAATCACATGGAATCTTTGTGATTTTCACTTTGTGACACAGTCTTAATAGCAATCTTCCATGTTTACAATAACATTAAGGATGCATTTGTTTCCTTGTATGATTTTTAACTCTTTCATTCTGTTGTCAGTCTATCCCTCTACACCATCTAGCAGATGATTTTACACAGTCAGAAACATCATCTGTTTTTCATCATGGTTTCGTGATCCAAAGTATCCTGCATTTTTCACCTTTCTTATTTCTTTTTTAACATTTCCTCAAGGGTTGAAAAATTTATTTAGTCTTGCCAAATGTTATACTGTTCTCTGTAAATAGCTGTCGATTCATTCTTACACCAAAGGAACTGCAGATTGTCTAATGGTTGCTCACATAACACTGTGTCATTGTGCAGGTCACAGCTGTTTGCCTAAAACTGACTGCAGGCCAGCTTTGCCACACCATGGCTCATGAGGCTGAAGCATTTTGCATGGCGCTCTTGCTATGACTGTTGCTCCTGCACATATGGACACACAGAATTAGCTTAATTGGAATGTTTCTAGAGAAAATTTTAGGAAGATAATGAGAGTAGCATTTGAAAAAACTGTTTTAAAAGCATCTTGGCAGTGCTTTTCTGAAGTGTGCTCAAAGTTAAGTTTAAACATTAATTTTCACAAACTAAAACAGTATTATGGTTATCTGGAACAAAATTTTAAATTTTAGAACTTTAAGGAACTTACAAGGAGAAAACAGTGTCTCTGAGGCTAAGCTACTTCCAAAGGTTAGCTGACCCACGGTTAATTCTCTTCTCTCACCTACATGTTATCAATTTGGTGGTTTGTGTTCAAGTTTTCACAAGATCACTCTTCCTATCCTGTGTGCTTGTATGATTTTGCTGCAGTCTTAGGTGTTAGCTCCTCAAAGGGTCCTGATTGGATCAAGGCCCTTGAATTATCTGAGAAAAGAAACTTTATTTACATTTGATAAAATCTTCCTATGCATTTTAATATTTCATTTAGGGATTAAATGATACAATAAAATTTATAATTATAGTGGTTATTATGGCATACACAATAATTTTAGCAAGAGTTATTTTGTGCAGTATATACAAAGACCATCAGGACCCAGTGGATTTTCCAAATGAGCATGCACAGGATGTGAGACATTAAGGGACCTTCCAGGTTAACAGCAAGTGCTTGGTCAGGGGAGGAGTAAACTCTAGGGCTGGATGATTCCAAAGACCTTGTTCTTATTCACCCTACTACATGGACTCAATAAAATACATGTGTTAGCAAACTACTTCCCAAATAGCTTGTGGCACATGAATTGGTTTGTCAGGGTTAAATAATATTGAAAAGAGCAGAAAAATAGTACGGTGTCTACAGAAAAAAAAAGTAGTGCTGAGTAAAAATAATTTTCATAAAAAGAGAAAATCATTTTGAGTGTCAGTTTAAAATATGATGGTATAATTTTGAGGACAGAGAAACAATGTCTAACAGAGTTAGTTAGTAATCACATGTATTTCCCTGTACACTTCCTAAACCCTTAGGAAATTATTAATTTTCCACTTCATATTAGGAATATGAAAATTTCCAGTGACTCAGTATTTTATGTGGTAGGACATTTAACATACTAAAAATTATATTATGACAAAAAATTTACACACTATATAAAATATAATTTTAAATTATTTTCACTTCCAAAAATTATCCTATGTCATGGACATTATAATAGCATGGGGGAAAAAATGTGTGAGTGTGTGTGTGTGTGTGTGTGTGTGTGAGAGAGAGACAGAGAGACAGACAGAGACAGAGAGACAGAGATGCATAGGAGGTGGAAATGTGTGAGCCAGGGAAAAGAAGGAAAGAGTAGGAGAATTATACTCTAAATAGAATCCATGTGAAAGCTGCTTATAAGGTACATCTTCCCATTTTGATTACACATTTGCCAAAAAGAAATGGAAAATGACCATGGGCTGGATGTA